CGCTTTCCCCTTCCTCACCTTATTTTGCACTACCTTGCCTTCTCATCCCTCTTTATCTCACTTACTCACCCCTCGAACCTTCCTCTATTTTTTGCGCTCTACCCCTATTATTAACCCGCCTTCTCTCTTTCTGATTTTGGTTGAACCGGTTAGTCCAGTCAGAATAAACAAACTCGGCCACAAACAGCCGGCCCAAACCTGATTATGCCTCATTTAATCAGCCGAGCACGTTCGCCGCCCTGCCTTGCCCCTCCTCTTATCTCTCGCCAAAACTCACTCAATTTAAATTTCAAGCCATTAAAAGTGCAAATGAGCACGAATTACAAGCCTTAAAGCGACGTCAGAATCGTTTTTTTAATGGTGTACATGCCTTGTGGATGACTTGTAGTAGACTGTATATATAGAAACATTTTTGGTCATAAGCAACTGTATAAGCCAAGAATTTTTACTTTACCGTAAGTTTTCTTTATAGAAAGTTTTTTGTTTTAAACAATTCTGCTTTAACATGACTAGACTTAAGATTTTAGCAAATTGTTTATAGTGCCAAACTCAAAAGTACACTAAAGTAAAAATCGTGCAAAAATATAATTTTCCCTCCAACATGTATAATACAAATGTAAAGAGTTGTTAAATAGGTCGAACAATTTATTTTTAATTCAACAAGGAACTGAAGACCGGCTACATAAACCTAGAATATCAATTGGATTCCACTTATAAAGAAAGCACTTAAAAGACAGCAACTAAGTCTGTTACTCTTCTCGGTAACACTTAAACAGATCAGCTCATTTCTAATTTAAAAGTGTTTTTTTGAAAATGATTTTTCAAGTACTGATACTATCTTCTGTTTATTTTTGACATTGGCTTGTGCAGAATCAATCCCCTTTCACCCTAGGAGGTAGGGAAGAAAAAGAAGAGAAAAGAAGGAGGAAGAAGAGAAACGGAGGTAAGGTAGTTCTACCTGACCATTCTGCCCTCATAGGCTTTAGCTATTGCCTAAACTGTTTCCTAAGCTGGAGTCACCTAGATTTGAAAGACAGTTCACTAAGCCGCTCAGCCGAGCCAAAGCAAATTTAAAAAGAGCCGGCCGATTTAAAAAATTCAACGTTTTGTACTACGGCTTGTACTACATCTTGTACTCAACGCGTTGTACTACTAGTAGTGCCTGGCCCTGTCCCTTTACAAGATTAACAAGGCCAACCTCAAAAACCTTTAAAAAATTTAAAAGTATTACAAAACTTTTACCTCCCCTTCACATAACCTTACCATTTTAAAAGAAAAGTACTGTTAATTGAACCGGCCACCAACTATGTGAGAACCCGATAGTTTACAGTGAAAACAATCTCACAGTTCTGAGGATTGACAAAGTGCATCGCCAAACTCTGTGAAACGAGTTAATTGGCCTAAGGGAATGAATTTCAAAGTGAAATGTTGTGATTTCCGCAGCTCATACGATATTCATCGTCGTATCAAATATTCCAAATTTGAGCCGGTTTTAAGATTAATTACGGCCAGCCAGAGGGCTTTAATATGCACGTGGCAACATTGTGGTCGTACTAGAGAGGTTAAGTTGGAACGACCACGTAGACATGATACAACATAGTAAGATATTTGTTTCTATGTATTAAGCTGACGACAGTAAAATTTAAAAAATTATTTTAAAAAAATTATTTTTATACAATCATGTTTACAGTATATTATCACAGTCTGAAGCCTAGTTGCTCTGCTTACCTTAACATACCAAAAACTATACTACTCATACATATCAACATATTAACAAATTAAAATCTTATTTTAGGTAATTGAAATAAATCCAACCAATAATAGAGACCAAAAAGATTACTTTCGAGATCTTGTTATACTTCCAGCAAATATATAAATATAGTCATCTGATGCTCTAATGTTACCAACCATTGTTTACTTTATAATTGGTATTTAAAAATGTAGTCTTTTTACTTTACGGTAAAACTTATCTTAATTACTACTTCCCTCTCCACCTACGTTACTTTTTAAAATTTATTTATCTCACCCCTTGAAATATAATAGATTGACAGGTCATCTAGATACGTTTCAAAATATCAACACCACCCCTTTAACACCACCCAACCCTGCCTATACCAAACCTCTATTCCTGCCTACGACACAACATAAAACTGGTTATAATACCATAATCCTGCAATGCCCAGTCCAACCACTTACAGTAATCTCTTTAAAACGAACGGCTTATAAAATGAAATTAGAGCCCTCTCCTTGAATAATTGATGCCTGTTGCAGGCCTTGTCTTAAAACATGTTGTACTAATTGAAATGACGGGAACAGATAATTGAGTGTAGTCAACAACAATGTGCTTTATTTAGAATCCAATTACATTGTTTTAGGCTTTGCGTCTTTGAATTATGTTATTGTAAGACAAAGGCACATAATAAAAGACAACTACGTAATAATAGTTATTATTTATGTTGTTGTAGGCACTTTACTGAATGTAGATTCGTTTTTTGCTATTAAAAGATTTGTATGTCTTATCTTTAACGTAGTAAAAAAGTGTAAGAAATTGTTTGTAAGACGGTAATTGAAGCCATATTTAAAATACTTTAAAGTACAAATCATTTAAAAAAAACTATAAAGGGTGTTGTAATAACAGAAAGCTCAACATATACATGTAAAATATATGGTATCACTACAAAGCTATTGTATATTCTACAACAAAGAACACAAGCACAAATTACTGTGTAAAAACTTCTACATGTAATTACTATCGCCTCCGTTGCTTTCCCCTCCCCCCCCCCCCCCCCCTTCATCAATGTTATCCTGTTTGCAAATCGTTCGATAAAACACCAAATAGTTTTAAATATAGAACGTCAAACTTGTACTGATACAGTACGTTGTTGCCTTTGGAACTAAAAGTATAAGGAACTGTCTTAATTAAGCCTTCAAAAGCATGTCATGCACTATAAGTTGAGTTGTGACAGAGTAGTTCGTATAAATTATTAACGTAATCTACTCTTTGAACCAAAACGCATATATGACTATATTATTTTACATGATTACCGAAAAATCTACCAGAAACGTTTTTTCGAAACTTGTATTATAACATAAGAATCCTTTTAAAAAGCTAAATTATTTCAAAAAAATTTAAAAACCAAGAACATTGACTATAAATTAAGAAAAAGTATTCGTACCCAGACAACTTTATCTCTTTGTTATAACAATGTCAAGCTAAATTGCCGTCTAATCCTTCATCTACGTGTCATTTCTTTATTTTCTCTGTTATGAATTCTAAGACGTTGTGCTATATTACTGTATGTATGTATATATTAGTGTTAATGTCAATCTATCTTGGAGAGAACCTCATCACGGCACTGTAGCTCAAGAAACATTACCACCTGAATAAAGCCGAATTGAGAACAGCTACAAGCTAAATGTATTGTAGCCTTCGCCAAACCCCCACCATCCCCCACCCCTTACATCAGCAGCCGATACCGACTACATTTTATTGTTATATTATTATTGTAAGACAAACATATATGTAGTTAATCTTTTTTTTAGTCTAGCCAACCAACCAAGATTCAAACTTCACTTTCGTGCTAAAAATTACAAAATTATTAATTATTTTGCGTTACAGGCACTTAAACTACAAAACTTCCTTCACAAACTCTCAAAGGTATTACAAAGTCGTACACAAGCTCTTTTTAGTACCAAAATACACAGTAATACTCAAAAATAAGTTGATGTTACACTGAATATTTATTGCAGTGTAATATACAGCAAAATAGAATGTAATATTCAAAAGTAACAACAAAACGTCATCCTGCAAAACATAATAACGTATGTTAACAATAGCTGGACTAAATTTGTTAATTCAAGTAAACAAGGCATTATATTATAACATGCCACAAGGTTTGGAGACATTATGACACGAGATTTAGAACCGGATTACTATATTTACAATTACCACGACAAATACTGGTTCATGCGGTAAATAAACAATAAGTTGTGTTAAATAAACAATCAAGCACATAGATATTAATATAATTTTACCAATTATAAATATTGTCTCGTGCTATAATAGCACGTAGTTGTGTGTATATAGACATAGGCATAGAAAGATTGTGTTATGATATATAGGTATGGGCGGGCGGGTGTTGAAAAGAGCAGGGAGAGTATGTCTGATTTTCGGGCCGGCCTTGAAAAATTCAGGCGGACTGAGCCGAATGTTTTTCCTAGGTCCGGACCAAAAAACAAATTTAAAAATTCAAAAAATTGCATTAGGTTAACGAATTGTAAATTTTATATTTAAAAACAAAAAAAAATTTTTTTTATGCCGCTCTATCCCTCAAGCTGTTATAACTTAAATATTAGCCTAAAATAACTCTTATTTATTATAACTGTAAAACATCCACAAAGATAGTCTCATAACCAGTTTTAAAAATCATATTAAGCAGTAACCCTATTTACGGTAACATCATCAGTAGACATGCTAAAACAAAAGACCAGACGAAACTGCTCTTCTGAACTCATACAACAATATCCCCTTTTCATAAACAACATCCTTTTTATTATCACATATAAATAAATACAAACATTCTCATTCTGAACCCAAATAACAAAGAGTTTAGCGACGCTTTCTCGAAATTACGTACTATCATGTACATGTACTGCAAGTGTAACTGCCAATTCTGAGAATAAAACAAAAACGTTTCAGGAAATCGTTTCCTTATCTTAGATCGCACGATTAAAAGGCCAAGCCCTCAAGGGAAAAATGACATGACTGACATCTAAAATGTGGTGACGTTCCCAACGTTTCGTTTTTCAAAAATCACATACTTTTTTTTAAAGTTGGAAATTTAAGTGAAAATTTTCCATCTAATTATACTTTTTTTTTAATTTTTATTCAATTTGTGACAAAGTAAGTTTTCTTGAATCACTGTAGCTTTTAACGTAATAATATATACAAAGGTAATCGAATAATTCACAAAGGTAACATAATATACATCTTTCCTACATCAAGATGCCATTTCTTCTTTGATTTCGGCAATCTTCTTCTGTGTCTCTGCACCCATACTGACCACTCGACTGTGTTCTGTCCTACTGACTTCTCGTACCCCAACCATAGACAATATCCATCGGCGGTACGGTGTGACACAAGCCAAAGATCCACACATGATAAGATTGGAGTGTAATGCCATTGCTATACCGCACACTTCAGAGATGCATTCAATGTGGATATAGTCGAGAAAGGTCAGAGCATACAGTACTACTGGAATGTGCATGAGTAGAATGGCTAGTACGGATTCTACAGCATAATGACGGTAGAAACTGCATTGAAGTCGGAAGGTCTTCATGCTTACTATCGATTTGGTACTGTGGATGGTCTTGAGGATCTGAAAAGCATAGTATGTTAGCATAAGGTTATGGGTGAAACAGTAATCAATTAAACATAAAACCAAGCCTACTATACCAAACGCCAAGTTTACTAAAAATAGTTTACTTAGCACCTACCTCAATATTGCACCGAAAAGCGTGTAGTATAGCCAGGAACCCAATACCTAACACTGACATTATAATCGACCGAGGATAGAGCTCCGTACTCAGATCCACAAAAACAATGTCAGGATGTGCTTCCTTCACACTCATCAACGTTTCTGAGGTACTTGGGTCGACTTTGTACAAATCCCACAATGTATATGTCATGACAAAGTTGGAGAACACAAGAGTCGTAAAGACAATGGCAGTGAATATCAACCAGTTGTTGTTCCGTTCCAGCACGTTGAAGAAACTCTTCTTGACATCACCAACATATACCTTGAGTTTGTAGGATTGGTAAGAGAAGCCAATGGAGAATGAGATACAGAAGTAGACGAACAGTCCACCGAAGACGGAACTTAAGAACTTGGTTAGTGGTTTATTGCCAGAGACTAAGCCCGCACTGTACCCACCGTAGTATTTACCGTAGTAGACGGGTTGTAGTACAAACTGAAAATAAAAAAAAATTTAAAAAAAAAGTTTTTAAAAACAAATATTAAACAGAAAAAAAAATTTTAAATTAAAAAAAATTTTAAAAACAAAAGTTAAAAGCAATAAAAAACTTACCAGTATGACATTCATAAGTAACGAGTAAGTAGCTGATATGATAAACAAGTTCTTCTCAAACCGAACTTCAACTGGAGTCTTGATTATGACTGCGAAGAGTACCATAGGGTACAAGAACAAAGTTATGACAAAGTTACCCAGTAATACCCGTGAATATATATGAACTACAACATCTGATAGGTCCATAGTAAAAATATATGTTTTTGCAAAAAAAGTACAATCAAAATAGGTTGGCCATGTATACAGTGTAGTATGTATTGGACCTTAAGTTTTTTAGTACAATATAGTATGTACGAAATCTTTACTTTATAAAAGTAAAAACAAGGTACTTCGGTGAAGCAAACACAGTAAAAATTTGTGTAATGTAAGCTTTTGTAGTACGTTATATAAACTGAATAGTATCAGGAACTAGATATAGGCCAAAAGATACTAAACAGTTTGTGTCAGTCTTGTATATAATTATACAATATAAGTAATCGTAAAGTTGTAGATACCATGCATTTACATTGTCTATAATCCTGAAACATCGACGTAATGGGTAATTAAAGTTATATTGAACACGCGATGCTCAAGTTTTATTATCGTACCACGAAGTAATGTCATTTACAAGTAACTGCAGTCCGTTTTGTAGTGAAAACTGTACTGTAGTAATGAGAAAACAATCTTAAATACAAAAGTTTAAAAAGCAAATCAAAAAGTTGAACAATGACATATTATAGTAGGTATCAAAGTTAAAGTCAGAAATGGTTTCACTTAATATTGTTTAAGATGTAATCATTAAATGTAAATTAAAATTATAAAACTGAATTTTTACTTTGCCTCACTTTTTCTATAAGCATTACAATATATTAGTATTAACAAATTGTAAAACTATTAAACTACGAACCTTTCCCTAAACCTAATAAGACTAATAATAACTTTTAAGAAAGTAATAAATATCACAGTTTTGTGAATTGCAATCTCCGCTCAAGCAGCTTTGGTAATATAATTACAAATAACATCTGGAAACAGAACATGAAGTCATATTTAAACGTCGCATGAATTATTTCACGTATTATATAAAAAAAAGTCACTGAACATTTCATTCTGCTTTGTAGATAGTTGGTAGACACAAAGATTTGTTAAATAGGCAAGAAAAAAAGGTTTGCCAGGCCCGACCGGATTCCTGCTATTTGCTTAAAAATAATTTAGCTTGGCCTAGTCTTGGATCAAGTCAAGTCGAAATAAGTTGAAAAGAAGCCAGGCCGGACAAGACTAAACATGAGAAAAAAAGCAAAATTTTGATCGGGCCGGTCTAACATTCAGGCCGGCCCGACCGAAATTTTTCTCAGGCTCGGTCCCAAATTTTTTTTACGCGGAAAAGAGCCGGGTTCTTTTTTTTTCAGGCCCGGCGCGCGGGCCAGTTCTGAATGTTAGCCTGGCCCGATCGAAATTTTACTCAAGGCCGGCCCGGCCCGTTTTTCATGTCTAGGCAAGACAGTGTGGGTCCGAAGGTCAAGGTCCCAAAAGCTTATAAAAGTTCTCGAACATCTATGCCTCTTTATGTTACCTGACTTTCAAGAAGCTTCTGTTTACAACTCAGCCTCCACCTAACCTAGCCATCCCTAGCTTGTCTAAACGTTTCAAAATCTACCAAACCACTATTCAAAAACAAGGTGGTAGTAATTCAATGCGTCATATTAAACCTTGAAAAACGCCTTACTTTAATAAGAACAAATTTCAAGTATTTTCAAAGTTTAAAGGTAATTTCGAATTAAAAATAATTAAAGGGAAAGTACAGTAACAAAACTAATCAAAGTACAAAACGCTTTCCACGTACCGTCATTGTATGTACGCTAAAGTATACGTCAAGATATATAATATTAATAATATAAGTAGTCTTAAGAGTTTTATATGATGTACATTACTTTTTTAAAAACAGTGAAATATACATTAAATTGCTATAGTATCTATGACACGAACATATATAAAAAAATTTAATTTAATTTTATGTAATAGTACATACATAATAAAAATATATAATGTAAGACAATATAAACTACAAACGTACCAACATGCCAACTATCCTTACTATTACTCATTGTAATGTTTAAACCCTCGCATTTCCAAGTAAAGGTAAAGGAAGTTGTTAAACATGGCAATAAAATTTAATTTCATCGTGCTAGGTGTAGTAAACGCATTAATGTAGTTTAGAAATGTAATGTTAATTTTGGTATATCATGTGAAAATGTAAAATTTAAACAACTTTAAAATGACATCATTACCTAAAATTTAAGTTTCAAAATTTACAAAACATATTGAAGCGTTACATTGCAGAGTTATGAATTACAGTATCACGCTATTTAAATAAAGAAGGGAGATACTATTCAGTAGACAATAAGTAAGTACAACATCCATTTTATTTTTTTTTGTACTTTAATTGCCATTTACAATCAAAACTGTGAAATAGATAATAACAAAGTAACTCTGTAAGAGTTTCATAACTGTTTGCAGTTACTGTAAGATGCAATCATGCTATGACGCGCTTTCTTTAATTGTAGGGCTCAATTACAACTGTAGTAATGTAAAGTCTATTTAAAAAATTATAAATAGGTAACACTCGTTTAATAATCAAGTATTAAGTCAGTTTCGAAATAAAACATTAATATACTTATTTAAATGGTTATCGTCGTTTAGTACAAAATTGTAATTTTTTTTGTTTTTAGAAGCACGGCCTGACATAAAAATGTCGCGGCAAAACACGCCTTACTGTGCCTGTTATTGTAAACTGTCATACCCTGCACGGTATCAAGAATTACATAGACAAGGCAAACCATTCTTAAAAAGAGTTGTTAGAGTTTGGTTTTCTACACATTGCTATGTTTCAAATAATTCTGTGCCCTTAGCCTCAAAAATTTGTTATGAGAGGAAGCACAGAATTATATGAACAACCAAATACATAGTTAATTATCATGTAATATAACACAGCCAAACCTCTTCAGCATGACACTCAAGGGGCTGGTCCAAACCTTTCATTATAAAGAGGTTGTCACATTACTGAGTATATTATACTAAAAAGGTTTAACTGTTAATGAAAATCTAAAAAAAATTTAAAAGTTGGTACATTCCCCCCCCCCCTCCTTTATTCCATCTCCTTAGATAAAAATTTTCCGTCTAGTGCGCTTATTAGTTGCTAATAAGTCATCTTGCTAGCCTAGTGTTATACGTTCTGCAACAAAGACACTTCAAAAAAATGTAGTTTAGGTGTCATGGTCAACTTTTTCCTTTTAATTTTTAGCAGAAACCGACCAAAATTCGAATAATTCATATTAATGAGAAAAACAGCCAAACAACAACAACCTTGCTAAGCTAAGCAACAAATAACTCTACAGTTGTATTAAAGGTTCTATATTAAAGAAATAAACAAAACGGACAGCTACAAGACAGACTTAATATAAGTAAGAGTAATATAGTTAAGCGTTAGACTATCAGTAATATAATTAGTCTACAAAGTTTAAATAGGTTACTACCCTAATAAAGCGTAGTAATATATTTACTAACAAAGTATAGTAACATATTTAGTCTTTAACACAAAGCCACAACTATAGGTTAAATTGATATATTACTTATTTATATGGCATGTTAACTCCATCATTTAACCACGGGAGTACTACATATGTGTTATTTAACCACGATACTATAATACTACTTATATGTAATATTACCGTGGTTAAGGCTATGAAATAATCTGTTTGTAGTGTTATTAGACATATTTTTCATTAAATATTACCTATACATTTCGAAATTGAAGTAGGGAAGTGAAAACAGAATTGTCTCAAAACTTATTTCAAAGTCACAATTAGTTTTGTCATAATATATAACTGCGCATTCTATAACCACATAACATACATTTGAACCCAATATTTAGCCAAAACTAATAATAACTGTGCTACAGTACAAAATTTAGTTACTATCATACGTTCACCTAAATACATTAGCATTACTAGGAGGTGATACATAGGAATGCTAATTTAGGCGTATAGGTAGTAGGCGGATAACTATATTTTGATACCTGATATTCTTAAATGGCGTTAAAAATTGTTTTTATATGTATATATATATACAAAAGTAATTGTTTCATACCAATTCATAGCTTACAGGGTCACGAATAGTGTATATAACATCGATGTGCATGTGAACAGCGACAATATGTATACACATGGCTACAATACACACGTATAATAAATAATGACAGTATATTTGAGTAATGACATAATATATATGATTTCACAATGCATTAACAAGGCTTTTACTGTCTTATTTACCAAGAATGCAAATCTTAATATTACAGTAATAAACAAAGCAAAAGACATAATAAAATTAAATTTACAAAGAAATTGCCCGACTTGCCTGCTCTGATTGACTTCAAACTTTTTATATAGAAAGATCATGTAAATATAAGAATTTTACCAAAGTACTAAATTGCACCTTACAGTCAATTTGAAAAAAAGCAAGATTAAAAAATTAGATTTTGAATATTCCGCCAAATTGGCATTATGTTTCAAGCTAATAACTTTGTCGTATTTAGACCGCTGACAAGTAAAAACTCTAAAAAACCTCATTTTTTTAAAATTGTAAGCGTATCCTATCAGGAAATAAAAAAAGCTTGCAACACAATTCCAAATTTACTAAATTGGCGGGAATAATAAACATTTTAATTTTAAAACTCAAAACTGCAAGGTAAAAGTTGGAGTATTTTTCTCGTTAACTTTTATCATTTTTGCTGTCAATATGTCGACATTTACCAGACACACTATTAACCTGGTGCAAAAGTAGCCGTTTCATTTGTTCTGTGCATGTTGTGTTACCTGCTTATCGTCCCTTTTTGTAATTTTTCTTTTTGAAATCAGACTTTTGAGTCTCTCAAGTTTTTCGAGCCATCCGGTGCAATGCACTTTTCACAAATAAGAGTTCACTTTGTGTGATTTACAAAGAACTTTGGTATTCCCTCTGTCCTTGGGTTCACTTATATTATACATGACCATTTGTTACGAAATTCTTGGTTGTGTTTGGTGAGGGTGGGGTGGTTAATTTGATTTTTAAAATTTTTTTTTATTTTGAATTTG